AAAAAAAAAAACCCAGCTAGATTCTAAGGCGAATGTAGAAAACTAAAAACAGGAACATGTCTGCATTGGTCCCTGCCAGGACTCCAACAGATTCTTAAAGCCACTTAGAGAGGTCAAGGCCGAGAGCTTCAAATCTTTTTGTAAGATATTCCAGGAAACAGGAGCAGAGTAGGAGAAGGCCCTTTTGCCTAGTTCAGTCCTCATTGAGGGAACACTGCAGGTAATAATGTCCTGAGAGCGCACACTGTAGCTGCACTCACGCAGAGACATGTAGGAGGAGATGTAAGAAGGTAGCAGACCAAGAAGTGATTTAAAGATGAAAATGTACCAGTGAGAGAGTCTGCGTGAAGTTAATGATGTCCAGTTAACCAGTGAACACAGGGTGCAGTGGTGGGTACGATAATCACAGCCAGTTATGAATCTTAGTGCACCATGATAGACAGCATCCAACATCTGCAGGGTTCTTGTAGGAGCGTTCATGTAAATAATGTCACCATAATCAATGGAGGGAAGGAAAGTCACAGATACAAGGCGTTTTCTAGCATTCAGGGTTAGACAGGATTTGTTTCTGAAAAAGAAACCCAGTTTAACTTTCAGTTTCTTTACCAAGTTTTCCACATGGAGCTTAAAAGAGAGATGTGAGTCGACCAAGATACCCAAATATTTATAGGAATCAACAAACTCAATGGGGACACCATTTGAGGATAAAATCAGAGGAAGAACTGCTGGGACCAACTTCCTATTTGAAAAAAGCATCCCTTTGGTTTTGTCGGCATTTAGGACAAGTTTGAGGCGGAACAAATCAGTCTGGATGTAGTTGAATGCAGAATTCAAAAACTGGAAAGCCTTAGCAACAGTTTTAGCTCGACAATAAACAGCTGTGTCGTCAGCATAGAAATGTATGGATGCATTAGGGATGTTTTTACCTACATTATGTATGTAGATTGTAAAGAGGGTGGGTCCTAAGACTGAGCCTTGTGGTACACCATTGTTGACTGTTAAATAACTGGAGGAAGTACCATTATGTTGAACACATTGCCTCCGGTCTGAAAGATAGTTAGAGAACCAACGAATGGTGTGTTCTGAGAAACCAATTTCTGAGAGTTTATAACACAAGATGTTATGATCCACAGTGTCAAAAGTTTTAGACAGGTCTAAGAAAAGTGCAGCACAATAATCCTTAGCATCCAGTGCTTCAACAACGTCATTAAGAACCTTCAGTGAAGCAGTGGTTGTGCTGTGTTGTTTCCTGAAACCAGACTGATGTGGAGGTAAGATGTTAAATGAGTCCAGGTAATTTTTGATTTGAGAGTTTATCAGTTTTTCTAAAACCTTGGCTAAAATGCAGAGTTTAGAGATTGGTTGATAGTTGTTCAGTGAGGTGGGGTCACCTCCCTTCAGCAAAGGAAGAACAAAGGCTGTTTTCCAAGTGTGTGGGATGGAGTTTTGTCTTATGGAGAGATTGAAGATGTGGGTCACAGGGACTGAGATGATATGAGCAGCCAGCCTTAAGAAATAAGGTGGAAGTTCATCTGGACCTGCAGATTATTTAGGGTCAAGATCTTTTAACAGTTTATTAACCTCACTGACTGAGAATGGAAAAAAGAGAAGCTGTGATTAACTGAGGATTGACTTGTAGGAGGGATTTGATTTGTAGAAGTTTGGTTATTAGGGGAAGTGGCTGATTTTCTGTTAGTAACTGTCAAGAACTAGAAGCAACAAAATGTTTGTTGAAACAGTTCAGGATCACATGCTTATTTGACACAGGAACAGAGTTAATGAGAAGTTGTGATGGGGGGTCAGATGATTGGGGG